TGAAATAATATTGTCAATACAGTTTTTAGCACATAACACATCATTATTTATGCCTTGAAGAATACGACTCATTGGAGCTGTCACACATAAAATATTCGATAAACATTGAATTGCGATTATAAATTCGCAACTGCACATAGCTGTTAATAAACTTTTAGCTTTAGATGAAGAGACAAGTTYATTCCATTCAGAAATTTTAGTTAAAGCATCAATCGTATAGGGTATAGATTTTTTAAATATCATAACACTGTCATGGCGTTCTATCCAGYKGGTCTCACATAAACTTTGTAAGCGAGGCTGACCATCCAGGACAGTTTTTAAGATAAAATTTCTTTTAGATGAACAATTGAAAAACTCTATTATTTCTTTCATTAATCCTACGMTGTTCCTAATATTTTGGACTGATGATGATTTTGAGATAGAGAGATTCAATGCATGATTTGCACATGGGCAATGRATAGCATTTTTGGCATATGATTGAATTTTTTGCACAGCTCCTCGCACTAACGATACCATAACTGAACAGCCGTCTGTTCCAATGCCCACGCAGTATTTAAGATCTAAATCAAATTTTTGTAATAATGAAATTACTGCGTCACCTAAAACTTCACCATTTAATTTTGGTTCTAAGTTTTTTTCTGTATCTGTATTGTAAACATATGCATGACAATCGATAAACGCAATAAAATTTTCTTTTACAACTGCTTTATGTACGTATCGTATAACTAAACTCATTTGAGATKAATGACTAATGTCAGTAGTTTCATCAAAAATAACGGAATAGAATTTTGATTCTTTTATTTCTTTTAAAATTATTTCTGTTATAATTGTACTACAACAATCAATTAGTTCATTCTGAACAACAGGACTGATATATGTAGCTTTAGAATGTGTAGTTTTCAAATGGTTTTCTAGAATTGAATCCCCAGAATTGATTCCCGTAATGTAGAAGTTCACGAAAGTTACCTTTATTGACTATAGAATTTTTTTCGAGATCATTTTCAAAAAAATTACCGTKATCACGGTGGCCCCGAAAGGGAATATTCTGTCGACCTAAAAATATAATAGACTCCACMATAGGTTTCAAACGATTACGGTTTTCTTCAACCTGTTTTTTTCTCTCGGTATTTATCAAATTTATAACTTCCTTTTTTGGATTATTAAAAGTAGTCATAAAATTATCTGCAACTTCAACACAAGCTACATGATAATGGTTTTTACTATGAACTTCTAGATCTCCGTCTTTACCTAGGAGCTTGGCATATTTTTTAAGCGGCTTAGAAACAAATTTGCATAATTGAATAGTTTTATATCGACCACCTTTATCACTAAACAAAACACAATATTTACAAAACAATCCAGACATCTCTTTAGAATATGTCAACCATTTATATTTCTCAAAATAAATTTTACTTAGGTACCTTTTTTCTTCTTTGCCTTTTTTGGAATGTATAGAAAATGGATAAACAAAATCAATATCAGGTATATTACTCGATTTTATCAATACAGCACGGTCATGGTCAGTTATACTAATGTTAGATTCTTTTAAAAATTTTGCTATATCTAAATTAAATGTGGTAGTGGCACTACCAGATGAAATACTAGTTACTGCTGTATTCAGTGATGATGAACTTGCAGATGTCGGTGCGGTTATCTTTGTCGTAGTGTCATTTTTCATTTTTTTGCTGTTATTGTCAGGATCATTGTCAACATCTTTGCGTTTTAACCATTGACTCAATAAATTGGACATGGTAGTTAAAAGGTAGTTAAAAGGAAAGATTATTATTTAACTGTAACAGCAATTACAACAACTGGTGAATTTCGCACGAGTACAAAATAATACTATACACGACGACCGTGTGAATGTGTGATGAAATTAATGACGGTACAATGGCGATTATATAAAATAGCGTGAACGGGGAAACGGGATAACGAATAACGATTGTATATTTGTATGGCGAACAGGCGAACGGAACGGAACAGTCGAACAGACACAACACATTTTCATAAATATCATAATTAATTATTTCATAGATAAGTATCTGATAAGTTATCAGTTTATCACAATGACGAAATGACCCATCGTGACCATTTAGGTAACCATTTCGACAGGTGACGTTCCGTTCCATCATTCGTTTGGCAGGACTACGTCACCCAGTCCTCGGGCCAAATGTTCCATCTTTGCGTATCATAGAGCAAT